TTAGACAGCATCCAGGGAGGACTTGGGACTGCTTTCTGGTCTGTGTTCATTTACGCGACACTACCTGACTTGGTCCAACTCGTCATTTAATAGTCATTGAAAGATCTAGAAAGATGGGATGGCTCTTAGCACATAACAATACGCCAAATGAGGCAGCACTGAAGTAATTCATGGTGTTCGCTGGCACAAGATAGCTGAGCCTTCTTGAAGCTGGCAGACTCTGCCCCCCCCCCCCAAATTTCCCATGGCCAAGGTCGCCCTTCTACACCTTCTGTTCAAGGAAAGATCCAGATCTTATGGAATTTGAGGGCTTCTGAAATAAAAAGCCCGTGAAAACCTCTTTTTATAGAGAGAATAGCAAGATTGTCTAGCTTTTTGACTGAAATTAGAAATATTACTATCTTAAAAAATGTATCTTTCCATTTCATCACTATTGATTGTAATGTTTTAAAAACTTCATGATGGTAACATTTTGGAAAAACTCTTAACTTGCTTTCATATATAAAGTATAAGATTTCAGTACATTTTAAATAAGTTATATGTGTGTATATATACATATGTATATATACACACAATGACTTATTTTTAAAAATTCTTTGACTTGATTAAATCATTAAGCATTTTGTGATCACTTCAATGCTGGTCCTTGATGCTTATGTCAGCAAGGCAGGTGACGTAAATATCATTTCTATTGGTATTGTTGGAATGACGTAGCTTGGACATGATGATAAACCACACAAATATACCCCCCTGAATCCTAATGAAATGTCACTCTTGTACCTTTTCCCCCAGCCAGTTCTCAGAATTCCCATAGCCATTCTGATGTCCACCAACTCGAGGAGAGAGTACAAGGAAAAGTCAGAATAGAAAGAGATAGTGACTTGAATAAATTGTGAGTTAAGCCATTGACTTTAAAAAAATTTTTTACAAAAATCCAGGACCATGTGACTGTATGGCTTTTAGAGGGAACCTGTGCATGTGCAAGATGCTCAAACAGAAGTTTTATTGTTGCTGTTTTTATGTGTTAAGCTTTAAGTGTTGTCACCTTTAGGATAAATGCTTATCTGCTTCTAGTAGAGGGAAAGGTTTAAGAAGTACTAGGATGATTCCCTGAGATGAGACTGAGTGGCTTCCGCAGGTAGTGGGAGGGTAGGCTCCTCATCAATGGCCCTATGTTTGGGGAATCGCTGGGATTTCAGTTTAACTCAGTGTTTGCTCAGTGTTTCTTCCAGCTTAAACACCTCACCCATTTTCAGTTTCATTCTGTTATGTCTCTGTGCGGTTGAGTCAGAGCTGGCTCATGGGACCCTCTAGTGTGTTTTCAGAGGATGTAACTTTCATAAAAGAGATTGCCCATCTTTGTCCTGAGGAGTGACTAGTGGATTTGAACAGTGTGCCTTTATTTTGGCAGTGCTAAACCACATCCCTTGACATGTTGTTATTATTGTTAGGTTCCATCGAGTCTAAGACAACTAACTCATAGCAACCCTGTGAACGTCAGATCTGAAGCCCACCCTATCTGGGACCATCCTCACCATCTCTGATACACTTGAGCCCATTGCTGCAGTTACAGGGTCAATTCATCTCAGTAGGGGTCTTCATCCTTTCATACAGTAAATGAGACAATCCAAGTATTTGTTGCTGTCGAGTTGATCTTGACACTTGGTGTGTCCTCATGGAACTGAGCTGTGCAAGGTTTTTCATGACTGATGTTTCAGAGGTATTTCATCAGGCTTTTTTCTTCTATGGTCATTGTAGGTGGACTCGAACATCTGGTTTTTTGGTTAACCTCCAAGTACTTAACCATTTGTACTACCATACAGGGATTTTCTGATGAATGTATACCCTAAATTTGAAGAGTCTGTCTCTGAGAGGTAGTAAGTTTATTCAAGCAAATGTTTATCATGCAAAATAGATTGCAAAACTTCTCAGGGTCATCTGAGATCTTTGTCATCATCCCAAAGCAGCAGAGTTTCCATCACCAGCTCTTTTGTGATCCCACAGAAGAAATACTACATTTTCCTGTGGAGGGTCATGTGCTCCTTTGGCCCATGTCCTGGGACTAGGGCCTTTGCCTTGAGGCTTCAGGATAACGTGATAGGCATGAATCCTGAAGGTCCTGGTGCATCTGAGGCACATCCTGAAAGGAAGAAATAGGACTGAGACGGAAGACCACATGTGCCCCAGTTCAGGTCTAGAGTCCCCCACCTGGACTGGACTGCTTGCTTGTACATTCCTGGCCTCTGGGAGGGAATTAGACCATTGTGAGGAAGGCAAGTAGTAAAGCATGGACCTTTCAGAGGCTCTTCTGTCCCTGGGGGTGCGAGCACTGATGGGGGTGGGTGATGGGGGGTGTCCATCATTTTCCCTTTGTTTCCCTTCCTCCTTCCTGTCACTCCATCTCTCTTTCCTTCTCTAGTCCCACCTTCACCCTCTCTCACCTCCTTCTTTTCTTCCTTTCTCTTTTCCTTTCTTTCTTCTCTCCTCCCTCTCCATTTTTGTAGCAATGAGTATAACGCAAAGACAGAAACTGTTGATAAAAACTTTCACTGAGAAGTAAATGCCATTTTAAAAATCAGTAAGCATGCACATCTTGTCTTTAGCAAGAAGGCACATTTATTTTGATTCCTGGTCACTTTCCCACTGTATTTCCAACCGTAACTCCCCCATGGGATCTTATCTTTAGTCTTCCACTTGGGTCTCCATTCCCACGGTCTTCCTTCCAGGGGTCTCTTATTGTCACTTCTGCATGTTCATTTGGAAAAAGGAATAACTTTGATATTAATTTTCTTTGTTTAGAAAATGGGGATGATGTCGACAGAGGACTCAGACTCAATGATTTGCTACAGCATATCACTAGTTTGCTTATTGGTTTCTCATTCTTGTTTGAATGAAATACAAACCTCCTTTTATTATGTTCCCTTGTTCCCTCCCAGTATGCAGCGTTGGTCCTTACATGTGACAGTGACCAGACGTGTTTATGAAGAGGTCTTGAGGAAACTTATCCAACAGAATATCAGGATTAAGGAAGGCAGGACCAAACGATTATCTTGTGTAAGAAAAGAATGACTTGTAATTGTGTGTGGAAAGAAACTCTCTTTGTTATGGCTGCCAGCAGTGAACTCTCCTTTTCTGAGATTTTCCCTTGGCCAATATGTTTAGGACTGCATTAAAACACTGACTAGATCAAAACACTGACTGGATTTGAAAATTGATATGTGGAAATAAAATTTGAGAAAAAGTTAAGCTTAGATAACTTCCTAACAGAGCAAGGACAGCCTTTTCCTCTTCAAGTTTCAGGCAGACTTTACTCCTGGAAACTGTGCATTGACTCTTGTTGTGTGTGCAGCCACATCTCCTGCTAGTCCATTATCATTCCCAACAAAGTCCCCATTTAGTCCACAAACATTGGCTAACTCCCTTTTCCATAGGCTTCTTACTACTGCTTCCTAGTAAACCTGGACTCACTTCACTGCGTCTGGATCATTCTGTTGTCTGGGGCTCAGCTTGCTTGGATCTGACTCTAGCCAGGAGGTGATAGGTAGACTAGGCTCTTTTAATTCCTCATTGTAAGACTGTTGTAAGACCTGTGTGTCCCTGGTTGTGTGACTCTTGCCTTATTTGATTTGTGGTTTCAGTGTCTGCTTTTATTGGACAGTGCTTCTTGAAAGGATAACTTGTAAAGTAAACCCACCCTGTAGTCTGCTTTTCTCTTTAACGACATGCTAGATTCAGAAGAGCTTCTTGTGGTACAGATCTTGACTTGCTTTTGTTGAAAACCTCTGAGCTTAGCTTCTCTCACATTTTCTCCCATTTCTCCTTTCCTCCAATCCAATGTTTCTTTCCTACCATTCAGGCCTCAGCCTCTTTGGTCAGAGAAGTTTGCTATCTCTCTTTGCATCCATGATGGCGCCGTATATTTAAATGATAAATTTTCCTCTACACCCTGAGAAATAATTTCTTACTTTAATTGTCAGGGGGGAAAAATTTGTTTTATGTGTTTGTATATTGTGCAATCTTTTTTTTTTTTTTTCTTTTTTTTTTTTTTATTATATTTTATTAATCCTCACAAACATCTACAGAGACTCCGGGCCTCCACTCATTCACTGTTGCACCACTCTCTCGACCCTCCTCCCAGCCTGTTCCTGTCCAAATGCCACAGTGCTTGTCAAAGCCAGTTCTGATTAATCTTCTTTGTCAGTGTATCCTTTGCCATTCCCTATCACTCCTCCCTGAGAGAGACTTCACCCTGAGTCATAAGGAAAAGGGGACGGCGTATTCTCTTAGCTACTTCCTGCTGAAAAGGGACGCTGTGGGTTTCAGGGTGAAGATCTTCTCTCACTACTCTAAAGGGCCCCTTTGGCAGTAGGAAACACATAGACTATTATGGAGATTGATTTTGGAATTCAGATGCACTCTTATTGATTGTGCTTGGCTGTACATGTACATATCCTTCAAGATGTATCATGGGGGTGTTGCAACCTAGAAGACACAAATTTAACTAACAAGTTATAAGTACTTGAGTCCAAAAATTATGGAAAAGTAAAAGAAAAGATTCTTTCATTGTTTTACAAACCCTCCCCCAGGTCCCCTCCACCATGCAGCCCTCGCTCTAGTCTCCTGTGATGACAGAAATACCCAGTTACATCTCTCTTTTAGACGGTTCTATGTAGAATCTATCCTTTCAATATGATTTTTTAAAATAAGGCAAGCTAGAGAAGAAAGAAAAACATAAAAAATACCCCAACCCTATTAAGTTCATTCATTCTCCCTCAAATGATTAGCTGAACTTGCCCAGAAGAAAGTTGAGCAGTGTCCTCAAAAGTGGGAGTGAAAACTAGCAATCTCTCAGCACACAGCCAATTGATCCCAGCCCTCACTCATGTCACTGCAGGCGAGCAGACTGGCCTTGTCAACTCCTGGCTGTCCCTGTCAGTTATGGTCCATGCTCTGTGCTCAGCTTTTTGTCTCCCTGGATCAAGATCCTTAACCTTTGTCACATCACTGACTTGGAGTGTCTGCTTGATCACCTGGCAGAAGTGACACCAGCACTGGAATACCTCAGCCTGCTTGGTAATGTGGCATGCCCCAATGAGCTAGTCAGCTTGGAAAAGGATGAAGAAGACTATAAGAGATACAGGTGAGTGTCTAGGGGCTTGGCATTGTGAGAGAAGGGGAGTGTTATCTCTTCAGGGTTTGCTACTGCCCTGTGGCGTGTATAGGAGGTGTCTGGTAATTATCAGTGGACTTCTTACGACAACCTTGACCTTTTTTACTCTTCTGTATCCTGAAGGAGCCATTGTCTGCCTTCCCTGAGGCCTCAGGAGGCAAGAAAGATGGGAAGCTGTTGGGTGGTCTAAGTCAGGGCTTGATAAACTTTGTCTACAAAAGTCCAGAGAGTAAATATTTTTGGGTTTGTGAACCATATGGTCTTTTGCAACTATTTCACTCTGTGGCTATAGTATGGAATTAGCTATAAACATTTCCTAAGTGAACGGACATGCATATATTCCAGTAACACTTTGCTTAATAAAAATAGACCCACTTCACTGCTGTCCAGTCCCTTCTGACTCCTAACAGCCCTCCAGCAGGCTTCTGAGGCTGGGATTCTGCACACGACCTGTCTCTCCCCAGGGAACATCTGGTGAGTGCCAGCTTTACCCTCAGTGCCCTGATGTATTACATACTGTGTCACCACAGGCCCTAACAGAAACAGGTTGTAGGACAGATTTGGCCTGGGGGCTATAATTTTCCCCTGCTCTGTGTGGTGAGTTCTTCCTCTGGCTTGTATCAGAGTCTCAAAAAAGTGACCCACCAAAATTGAGCTGCATTCCATAATGCCTCACACCTCTTGAAGATCAAACTGTACCTCAGAATCCACCACTCAGGTATGCTGATGGAAGGTATTAATGCATCTCCCCACCTCCTCCGCTCTCTATTTCATCCAGCCCATCCACTTTTGAAATCTCTGATCCAAACAGGACTGTGAAGTGCACAATAACATTTATGAGGAACTTACTCTTGGCAACAGTCCATGTGAGGCCAGGAATGGAGTATTTGCCCAAAAACAAAGCTCAAAGATAACATGTGGGAGATAAGGATGAATGGAAACAGAAACACCAGGGAAGAAGTAGGTAGAATGCCGTTATTTGAGGACTTTGCAACCGATGTCACAGAATATGTATAAATTGTTACATGTAGTTGCTGTATAAACTTTCAACCAAAACATAGTAAAATGTTTTAAAAAATCACATCTTTAGGGAGCCCTTTTGATTTTACTTATTTTTACTAAATTAGTTTTTATTTTCTTTTTAATCCTGAATGCGTGTGTACTTTTATAGTTGATTGTTGTCTCATAAATGTTTTAATGATTTTTTTTTCATATGAGCAGCCTCTCTTTCATTATGATGTAATCTCTCATCTCATCTCTGTCATCCCATCCCCAGTCAATGTGGGAAGGAAGGCTGGAGGAAAGTGAAATGGAAAGAGAAGGGGAGGCAGGAAATACATGGTCATAGGGCCCCTAGAAATTAGACTTTGGAGGTTCCCTCACATATTCGTTACCGTCGACTGAGAACCCACTCATCGCTGACCTTCCAGTGAGATTTTGGAGGCTGTAAATCACACAGGGGGAGATGTCCCATCATTCCCCCATTGCTGCTAAAGATTATTTTGAAACACCAGGGAAGTGTGACCTTTAGGTTAGCAGGACAACTCCCTGTGAACGATGCCATGGCTGATGTTTTTAAAATAGTGTAACTGATCACATTGGCAAAAACATTCAGACCCTTGCTCTAAGAGGTTGGATCAGAATACTTGTCCTGGAGCTCAGCTTTGTTCGACCTTTAAAATGGAGAGTACAGTCTAGATAAGTGCTGAGTGACCAGGGATATGCCTCTGAGTTCCCCAAGGTACTTATCATTCATTTGGTGGAAAATAAGACAAAATTGTCAGTAGGTAATTTTGATGTTCAGTTGAAAACTAATGTACAAACCTCTCAAAACTGAAACACGTTGCTGTCAAGTTGGAATGAACTCATAGTTGTCCCTCCAGCTGAGTTTTCTGCAGGCTATAAATCGCACCTGAGGAGATTGCTCATCTTCTCCCTCAGACTCCCCACAGACTATGTCACCAGTGCTACTTAATGTTCCTGGTAGCACCAAGTTTTGGAAATACTATTGTCGCGGTAAGTACAGTTCATCATCACCATCTCATGCCATTTTTAATGATTCTACCTTTTCTCTTTCTCTTACTGTTGTTTGTTATTATGTGCCATCAAGTCGCCGGCAACTCATAGCGAACCTATGTACAATAGCTCTGAAGCCTGTTCTGTCCTGAGCCAGTCTCACTGACTCTGATACACCTATCCCCATTGCCCCAGTTACTGTACCAATCCATCTCATCCGGGGTCTTCCTCTCCTGCCCTGTTCCTCCACCCTTCTGAGCATGATGTCCTTCTCCAAGGATCAGTCCCTCCTGGCCATGTGTCCAAAATATGTGAGATGGAGCTTCAAAATCCTAGCCTCCAAGGAGAAACTTGGTTTCACCCTCTCCAAGACAGAACTATTTGTTTTCTTGTCAGTTCATGGTATGTTCAAGACTGTTCTCCAGCACTACTACTCAAAGGCATTGATTCTTCTTCTGTCATCCTTTGTCATTATCCAGCTCTCTGATGCATAGCAAGAAATTGCAAAGACCACGCACTGCATCAGGTGCACTGTAGTCTCTAAACTGACACTGTTGCTTCTCAGTACTCTGGAAAGGTGCCCGGCAACAGATTTACCTAATGTAACTTGCCTTTTGATTTCCTGACTGCTGATGCCAAAAGTGTTGATTGTGGAGCTGGGCAAGCTGTAACTGTTAACTTCAATCTCTTCTCCATCTATCATGGTGCTGCAAATTGGCCCAGTGGTAAGAATCTTTGTTTTCTTGATGTTAAGCTTCAATTCATATGGGAGACTACAGTCCTTGTCCTTCTTCATCTTGCTGCAGGCCCTCCTTAGTTTCAGCAAGCAGGGTTGTGTTATCTGAATGACATAAATTGTTGATGAGTCTTCCTCCAATCCTGATGCCACATTCCTCCTTATAAAGCCCAGCCTCCCGAATGATCTGTTCTATATAAGAAATGAAGACAGGACACATCCCTGATGCATCCCTGATCCCTTGCTGGTTTTGAACCATGCAGTGTCTCCCTGCTCTGTTCTGAGAACTGCTTGCTGGTCCAAGTACAGATTTTGCATAAGCGCAATCAAGTGTTCTGGATTCCCTTTCTCCTCAAGGTTAACCACAGTTTTTTGTGATGTACTTACTACTTTATTTATTTCAGCATTAAGAAAAATTGGGTTTCCAGGAATCCTCCCTCAAGGGCGGTGACAAGTGAGGCCCAAAATGGCAGCCGTCTGCTATAGTTATTTCTTTTTTTGTTTTGTTTTTTGTTTAAATTTTTATTTTACTTTATGATTTTGATGACAGTTTGACTTTCCATGCGTTCAATGTTGCATAGTTTCCTCCCTCCCCCTTTCCTCTTCCCCTCCTCCAGCTGTTAGGAAGGAGGACTGACATGGGGGGATGGGAGGCGAAATAGGAAAAGAGTGGATAAGTAATGAGCACGGTATTGGAACATTTGAGGGAGAGAACTCTTTAAAAGGAATATATGTTTAGCCATTAAATGTATGACAATTGTCCAGAATAAGAGGTACATATAGGAGTTTTCTTAAGCTCTGTAAGGAGTGGCCAGTGAGTGAGACCAAAGGGGCCAGGACTTGGGCCATAACCTGCAGCAGTCAGAGCCCAGTCCTCTCGGGAGGAAGAGCACACAGACATTGCAGAGCCTGAGACCTCTGATCTGTACAAGAGCTCAGGACAACTCCATTTAAACTATTACAAACACCAGTCCCCACAACCCAGAGAAACAAGCTTCAGCAGCCTGTTCATGGAAGAATGCAAGCATTCTGTCCACAGAACCTTGAAGAATGTAAGGAAATGAATAAAGGCACATGGAAGGAGCTGCAGAAGTTTACCCCCCAGAGTCCCGAGGACATTCACAGGCCTGGGCCCAGTCCTCATCTCACTCACATACGTGAGAGTGGGCACTTGTATATTGCCATCAGAAATACAACTCCCAATTCTCCCCTGGGGGAAAAAATAGGTTTTCAGTGGGTAAGGGCTTCTGGGTCTTTGGGGTTTTTGTTGCCTCCTTAGCACCTAAAATAGTGTTAGAAATGTAATATTCATGTGGTCACTGTCTTTAGAGATGACTTGCAATGACCCTTACTAGCTACAAGCTGAGTAATTGCAAATACTTGCAACAAATGCTTTGGGAAGCGTCAGAGAGTCAGTGCCCTTTGGACAGCTGGTTCAGTTGGTAATGTATTGAGCTGCTAACCAAAAGGTCCCCTGTTGGAACCTCTCAGATGCTGTGCAGGAAAAGGGAAGCCAATCTGCTTCTGTAAAGATTTCTGGCCTTGGAAACTCTGAGGGCAGTTCTACTCTGTCTTGCAGGGTTGCTATGCATTGGAATGAACGCAGTGGCAGTGGGTTTTGGGTATTTGGGATTAGATATGTTTGGTCATTAAGAAAGGCTATTATGAAGCAAAGGACTATTATTTATAGTTTCTCAGTCCAAGTGTTGATTGTTGCATCATGATTCTTTAGTGAAATCCTGGTTCTAGAAGAGCCTTTCCTGACCTACACTGGCCAGAAGTGGTGGTGGTGGGTCTCCTGTAGGCCTGCCTTTCTTACCACAGGTCTGTGTCCCTAGAAGGCATTGAGGGAAGGGTAGAAACATTGTTCCCAAACATATGGCAAAGTTTCTGTGAAGAGGCTGACACACAGAAAAAATCATATCCTGTCAAGTTTATCTTAGAAAAATCCCTAAGTCACCCACAATGAGAGAAGGTGTTCATACTTGAGACAGGAACCATTCAGTTGCCAATTCTCAGCATAGTGTTCAGTGGTTTAGTGCAACGATAGCTTGTTCTCCAACACTTTAAAAACTATTACTGATTTTTTTTTGGCTGTTGTTATTTGTTGACAGCAGTTCTCATACTGCATGTGTGCGTGATTTCATTCCATTCTAGGGTCTGTAAGCGACACTGGTTTGTTTCCTATGCTTCTGTATCTGACCATTTCCAAGTCTCT